ATAGCAAAACACTCATTCAATCCGACGGCATTTTATTTGATCGGACGCTAACCGCGGCACAAATTACAGATCTGTCAGAGGAGGTGAATGGGAAAAATCGATTGGAAGCTGAGCAGACACTAATTTCTAATCTCTACTTATGTTTGGGGGAACGTGGACAGGACGAACTACATAACCGGAAACCCCATTTGGACTTGGCGACTACCCGATATCCACGGGTTTTGGATGAATTTGAGAATGTCTTCAGGAAGGAAAGAAACGAAACGTTCGAGACGTATCAGCTACTATCTCGGAAACAACGTGACGTGGAAACGTTGGAAGAATTCCACTCCGTATTGAGTGGACTGGCCGCTAGATGCTCATTGGGAGCATTGGAACGACAGGTGTTACGTGACGTATTCATAGTGAATATGTTCAATAAGGAGGCTCAAACGGAGCTATGTCGTTCAACTAAGACACCAGATGAGGTCTATCGGATTGCTTTGTCATATGAACGGGGTGACAAATACGCAAAGTCATATAAAGTATCCGGTGGGGGACTTACCGCGGCACCAGCGGGCTCACTACAAATTAAAGCGGAGCCTATAAGCGCTATCCGAGGAGGTTATCGCCGACCATTTCAAAGAGGCGGACGTGGATTTGGCAGGGGCGGCACAAGGGGCCGCGGAGGAGCAGCAGATCGCAAGTGCTACAATTGTGACCAGAGTGGTTTTACCCCGGATCATATTCCAAAGTGTCCACCAAGAAATGCAACCTGCAATTTTTGCAAGAAAACTGGACATTACGAGCGAACTTGTAGAGGACGTCGATCGGCGAATAGGGGTCGCGTAGGCATGATAAATGAGGACGACACCGATGGCGGGATTGCACAAGATTATCCGGAGGAGAGTGCATCTAATTACGGAAGTTCCGTTGGATGGGTGACTGATTCAAAGGCACCGGCACATGGATGGGATTCTCGATAGTTCGACGGAGTATGTAGTTATGTCAATCCGGCGGAAGGAGGAAACAGAATTGAGAGTCGCGGGGGCCAAACTAGCTCTAAGAATCAATGGAAAAGCAACCCAGGCCTGGATTGATAGTGGTTCGCCAATATCCATCTTCACTATTGGGGAACTAAAACGTACCCTGGGAACAGTCAACGTACAATTGAAACCGCGGGATCCGACAGACGACCAATTCCGCGACTACGGCAACAATCCGTTAAAATTTCTGGGGGAAGATGCAAGTTACGCTTTATTCCAATGGATGGACTTGTTCGGCGGATATCAACGTCATCGGAGGGGTGCTGACCGTCTATTATTGGCAGGGAATTAATGCCATCACTAGGACTGATGTTGGTACAAGCACCATCGACAGAAGGGGTGAACAGCATACATTCAAAGGAAGGAACTGTGGCGACGGACAATGACTTGGATGATTGGCAGACACATTTCAGTAAGCAATTTCAACATCTTTTTCGCAGGGTAGGGCGCATTCGAATTTATAAAGTGCAGGCCGAATTCTTCAAGAATCTAACTCCAATTCAACAAAAGGGTAGGCGAAGTGCCCATTACATTACAGGAAAAAGTCGATGAGGAGATTGAAAAACTTTTGGAACAAGGTCATATCCAAAAATTGGAAGAATGTTCAGATAAATATTTTGTTTCACCTATTGTCATCACAGTGAAAAACGATGGTTCGGTGAAACTTGCACTGAAATCCAGAGAATTGAACAAGCAAGTGCATAAAAATAAATATCAAATGCCCAAAATTGAAGAACTAATGGACATTGTAGGGCAAACGATCAGCGAACGCAAACAGGGGGATGTTTTTTTTACAACGATGGATCTCACGTACGCATACGGTCAACTTCGTTTAAATGAAAATACTAGCAAACATTGCAATTTTTCGTTGGTGGGAGGCCGCTCTACCGGTACATATCGATTCAGGACAGGTTTCTATGGATTGACAACCATGCCGGCGGAATTTCAACGGGTCATGGATGCCATTCTGGCTGAATTTCCGTGCGCGCATGCTTTCATTGATGATATATTAGTGATTTCAAAAGGTACCAAGATCGAACATATTGCCCTGGTGGAGAAGATTTTGGCGAAATTAGATAGAGAAAATATGGCTTTGAAACTAGAAAAATGTCAATTTGAGAAAAATACTTGTGAATGGTTAGGCCACCGGATTACAAAATCAGGAATTACACCAATGGTGCGGAAAACAGACCCGATTGACAAATTAGCTGCCCCAAAGACGCTCTCTCAATTGAAATTGTTCATGGGGTCAATCCATAGCCTGCACAAATATTTACCTGCTTTGGCAGAAACTTCGGCGCCCCTACGTCCGCTGCTTAGTAAGAAAAATGAATTCCTCTGGACAACTAACTGCCAAACAGCGTTCGAATCGCTTAAGAAACCAGTCGCGAACATAGTCGAACTTAAGTATTTTGATGTACATAAGGACATACGTATCGTGTGCGACGCAAGCCATAATGGTTTGGGGGCGGTACTCGAACAACTAGGCGCCGAGGGTTGGCGACCAATATCATTTGCGTCCCGTTTTCTAAATGCGGCCGAAAAGAAATATTCGACAAATGAGCGACAAATGCTGGCCGTAGTTTGGGGTTCCGAATAATTTAGAAATTATATTTTCGGGCGGCAATTTACTGTAGTGACAGATCACAAGGCTTTGGTATCTTTATTGAATGGAAACAATAAGAAAAACAAGACTATGTTCAGTCGGTTGACTCGTTGGATCGATAGAATTCTTCCCTTTGATTTTGTCATTGAACATATGCCTGGGGCTAAAATTGGCCTGGCGGATTATCTATCAAGGCATCCGGTGGGGGAATCAACAAGAGTTAGTCTTTATGATAACACTTTCACAGTTGCTAAATTGCAGTCAATTACCAGTTCACTCGGGTATATTGATACCAATAAAGGGATCATTAAAGCATCAAGGAAATCAATTGTTTCAGCTAAAGAAACACAAGTTGGAAACGATAGAATTAACTTTCCATCGGAAGAGGGCGTCAAAACGCGTGACCGTCGGCCAACCAATCAGAAGCCAGTAAAAAGAATAGCTGAGTGTACTGACCGGGAGGGCGCGAAAGTAGTAAAGTCAATTACTGAATGTAAACTACGTGAGTCTGATATTAATTCCACTGTAAACAGTAGTCCTCCTTTTAACAAAACAATTTATCGATCTTTCAAAACAAATTCCTCTACAATGACATCAATTAATTTGAAGAAACTAAATAAATTATTGTTGAAACATCCAGAAATAACAAGCGGCAGTAGCAGTGAGGTGGAGATAGTAGACGCACGATTGGAGGCGGAGACACATCACACTAGGGACATCCGATGCAACACGGTAATCTCCATTCCTTCGGCATTCGGAGGTGAACTCTTTCCGGCGGCAAACCCAGCAGGAGGAAAGATGATCATGTCAGTGATCCCCCGGGACTGTAAGATCATCCGGAAAAGCAGTGCACTGCCAGAACTATTCAACTTAAAGCTAGTTGAAGCGAATTTTAAAGGAGACATGCAGATGCGTGCGATAAAAGAACTGGTGGAGAGTAAGGACCCGGAATTGGAAAAGAAGGTCAGAGCAATGGGTGCCTATCTTGGACAGCACACACATGATTTCCACGTGCGGGAAAATTGCCTGTGGATGGACGAACGACTCGTCATCCCCATACAACTCAGAAATGCTGTGGTCAATCGCTTACATTCGTTTCACCATGGGCGCTCGAATATGTTCGAGGCTGCAAGGGATGTCTGGTTCCCCTATCTCCACCGGAGTTTAGTCGCAGCTGCGGATGGGTGCAAGGAATGCACGGATGCAGGTAAAAGCCTTAAACCATTATGCGCTAAAGGTGACATTGGGAAAGTATATGAACCACGGGAGCCGAATGAACGTCTACAGCTAGATTTTTGGGGTCCAATTAGATACTTAAATGAATCGAGTAAATATGTTTTGGTATCGGTCGATCGATTCTCACGTTGGCCCTCTGCGATGATCTGCAGGAATAATAAAAGCGATAAGGTCCTTAAGTTTATTAAACAATACATATCCCAACATGGTGTCCCTAGGAAAATTTTTATGGACCAAGGATCAAGTTTCACATCGAATGCAGTTATATCATTTTGTAATTCCGAACGATCATCGTGCAACCGGATGTGTTGAACGTACCATTGGCAGCATGAAAAATTTTGTCCTAACTTACGCAAAAGAAAAAGACAGTGGAAATTTAGAATCAATGATAGAACGAGCCTTGAGTGCACTAAGATTTGCTCCGAATGCTACTCTCAAAATATCGCAGTTTGAAGCTCATCACGGCAGGGAAGCAAATACGGTCCTTCGAAATCTTACGAAAAAACCAAATCTGCAAAAACTAAATTGGGCCAGAGTGTTAAAACAAAAATCTGCCTATTTAGATTCTACTGACCTAAGAAATCAGAAAAGTCTCCAACCCATGGCAACGAATTGGGAGGAACGATCCGACGTTGAGTTTGATGTTGATCATATGAACCACCCTAGCTAACACAAAATCAACTAGTATCGGCGGCGGATGGAACACCAATGGTTGACGGGAAACAGGTCTTGGGGGGCAAGTCCAAACAGCCAAGTAAACGGACCGAGCTTTTGTTCCAATGACTTAAGGACAGCAATAACAGGTATAGACCCATAAACCAAAAAGTAGTTAGCGAATCTAAGCACACTCTAACTCTAGCAAATGGCTCTGTACTTAGGAAAAGTGGGGTTGCTGAGAAAGTCATCAAGACCAACGCGCCAAATACTGCGAGCAAACTAACACTACCACCCCCAGCCATGAGTGCGCTGAAACGTCGGGCGGAATTGAAGCGAACACTAATCGAACAGGCGGCGGGGACGAGCACACAGAGTAAGGCCGATAAAAAAAACGCGAGAATCTTCACCAACGGAGGAGGCAGACGACTCGGATTTGGAGTACGAGCCGATAACAATTTCAAAATATGCAGGGAACCCAACAACAGCACCCGGTCGGAACGTGGAAGAAAATGCACCAAAGGTGCCTAAAGATGTAGAAAACGTAGCAGGAATACCAAACCTATCCGAAGGAAGCGGAGTTCTAACAGCCAAGGGGGTGGACACGGAGGTCCAAACCATGAGCACCGAACAAGGGGAAGTGCCCCGAATTTGAGTAACGAAGGACAAGGAACAAAACAGCCTAAAAAGAAAGGGGAGCGAGGGCGACGTTTACGCCTCGTATCATACTCTAGTCAGGACTCAGAAGACCAAGATGGGACAGGATCAAGAAAAAGTACCAGGAAACGGACGGCGGTATCCAAATTCGGCGGGGTTATGATAGACAGTATATTGAAAGCGAGAACAACCAAAGGAGGGGAAGACAGAGAGCGGGACACAAATTAGGCAGGAAGATACACTTGAAAGATGGAGTGAAAAAGGAAACTAAAAGAAACCATTTAAACTAAAACTCATGCCCAGGGAGAGGGTGGACTACTGCGGGTCCAAAACTCAAACATTTATCCGTCGGATAATTTTTAAAACATTTGTTTTAAAAAAAATGATTGTTGAGGGAAGGTCATATATATTAATCCTAGTATCTAACTATACATATATTACGTTGTTGGCGCCATTGGTTTAGCCTTGTGTTTGGTGCGGCTACCAATTAATTAAAACCTGCCAATCTGAGTTAAGTCTGCTGTGTGTTGAGTTATTGTTGTTAACCGTTAAGACTAAAACAAGTCACTCTAAATTCAGTGAATCTACGTTATTGAATCCTCAAGTTTTCACACTACCAGCCAGTTGCGGAATGGACAATTAATGACAATCAAAATAAGAGAAGAGAAGGAAAATGTAAGGACAGAAAGCCATTCAAATGATGCAATGGACAAAATTTACAATCAAGCGATTATAAGGAGCGACAAATTAAGGAGGGTTTTTTAACTCACAACTCTCATTAAAATTA